TCAATATAGCTCTATAGTAGAACATTAAGATATTGAGTGTGGTTGGTGGTTAGAAAAATGCAATATTATGCTTTTGGGTGCAGACCATAATGATATGAAAGAAGAAGAAAGGATTGGCCTGAATAACTTGTTTTGTAAGCTACCCCCCACTATGCTGCCTTGTAGCCTCATCAAAAAGAAAAAAATGTAACACTTTAAACATTGTAGTGGCATTTCTTTTTGCTTACTTTGTTCCCAAGAAATTATTCTACAGTGAAATAAAATTCTGTAACTAACATTTATTTTAAATAGAAAAAACCCCACAGAGGTATCATTAAGTCATGTTGTTGATGCACAACTCCTTGAATAGAAGTACTTTTAGCACCTTTTTTTCGTTATTGATGGTGAAAACAGCCATTGTACACATTCATTTAACTGTGGATTAAAAATGGTAACTGAACCCCTAAACAGTGCAAATGACTTGGCAAAATTATATGGGTTCCAGTGGTTATCATATGATTCCTGGTTATACAGTTGGAAATTATCATCTCTGTTTAATTAGATTAACTCCTGGTTTTCCCCCCACTCTACTTCACTTTACTTTCACTCTACTTTTCACTCTATTTGGAACCAGCAATCAATACAGACTTCAAAATGTGAGACTTTGGAAGAGCTGAATGTTGTGCAGAACCCATCAGAATGCAAGCTGCCTTTTCATTGAGTCGCAGTTAAAGAAGAAAAATTTAAGGTGGGGGGGGGGAGAGTTACTTGGTATTCAGAGTAAACCTACCGTGACTGTTCCTCTAACACAGACATGTCAAACTCACGACGTCACGTGAAATTGCGCAACTATCAGAGCTTTTTCTCCATTGCCGGCAATGGGGTGGGCGCGTTTTCCTGGTGACACGTCTGGCTCGTGGGCCGGCAATTTGACACCCCTGCTCTAACAATATCCACAGGAAACTGAATGCAGTTGCTATTAAGCATTGGTAAAAACCTTGAGCTTGATTCCTAGTAGCTTCACAAGTCCATGTAGTTTTCTTCATGGTAATACAGAAATACAGTAGTCTGCCACTGCCATGTTCTAAGATATTTTTGTTGTCTTCCATATGTAGCCTACAATTCTTGTATTCCTTGATGATCTCCTATCTTTGTCTTTCTAAGTCCAGACAAACTCATGCCAAATTCTATCCATCTGTTTATTTCCACTTAATCCTATTACCTGAGTATATGCCCCAGTGAATTTATAGCTGATTAAATATACATATATTGGTCAGTTAATCTTCTGTTCTATGTAATGCAGCTGGGATGGGAAAGATGTTTCTAATATATTATTCAAATTTAAAATGCTCAGATTAGATGAGCAGGAAAATATTAAATAGTGCTTCTTCTTCCAGTAAGTGGTATTTTAAATTAATTTGCAGACGACACCAAGCTGGCAGGAATAGCCAACACTCCAGAAGACAGGCTTAAGATACAGAAGGATCTGGACAGACTTGAACACTGGGCACTATCTAACAAAATGAAATTCAATGGTGAAAAAAGCAAGGTTCTACATTTAGGCAAGAAAAACCAATTGCACAAGTACAGCATAGGTGGCACCTTGCTCAATAG